TCTTCTGCATTTTCTGAAAGAAATTTAAGAAGCAGAAGTTTTCATTCCCTGGGACCAGGACAGGAGAGGGAGAGCTGATCAAGGGAAAGAGCAGATAGGGGAGGAGTTGTCTCTTTGGGCAATGTTCTTTCATGTTTCACAAGTTAAAAAAAAAAAAAGAGTCTCTAAGGAAATCAAATAGGGTTATTCTTTGTACCTGTAGAATGAAGCAAGAGTGATAATTCTTCCTCTAGTGTTTAAAAAATATCTGTAACAGGATTAGAATTGTATGATAGTATAAGGATGGATACATTAATAGCAACCTGTAGTATGACCTCCCATAGCTTCCCAACACAATACTAATTTTAGATGAAAAGGAGTTTTGTTGGCCAAGAAACAGCGAATGGACCAAAGATGACAAAAAGAGCAGAGAGAGGAATAAATAGACATTCTTCAAAAAAAATTACGTTTTGATCTTTTCCCTTGAAAAGAAAGAGAAAGGAGAAGTCAAACCCTTTTGGCTGCTTTTGGGTGCTTTGTTCTTTTCCCTTGTTAGATGTCTCTTCTGAGCTGTTTCATCCTGTTGTGTTCTGGAAAATGATTTTTGAAATGTCGAAACTTCAAGCCTCTTTTGTCGTGGCTTAAGCAGTTCCCCTGAACTTTGAAGGAGACCCCAGCATGAGCGACAGGAACTTCTGATGCTGCCTTAACTGGACCAGCTTTGATCAGTGCTGGAGAAGGAAGGGGGCGAGGGGGAAAAACACATGCATAGAGAAACCCAAACAAATCAATGCCCCGAGGTGCTGGTGGACATCGTGGAGTTGTGAGGGGGTTGTAGCTGTGTGCTGATGTTCTCCATACACTGCAACGCAGCTCTGTGGCATAGACTGGCTCATAAAGCCAATGGTTCTTAGTGGATATGTCCTACAGTGGGATTTCTGGGATCAAGGAGGTGGTGGTGGGTGGAGAGTTGTCATTTTATTACTGTATTCCCTGGTGTGGTCGATGGTTGCTTTACCCTGGGACCTAAATGTCTCTGGTTTAAGGAGGATCTCATCAAGCTTTTAAGTGAATGGGAAGCTCAAAACTTGTGTCTAGGAGGACACCTGGGGGGGGGACGAGGTTGGCAGCAGAGGACAGCAGTGTGGATGGTCTCTCTGGATGTCTTCAGAGGGTTTCTGTGCCGGAATCTGCTCCGGGAACTGCAGGCAGTGGCTGTAGGTGTGCTTCAAACTGGGCATGGGGGTGGTTTGGTAGGGTCTGAGGTCCTCAAGAAAGGTTTTCAGAGGGTACTTTGGAGCAGGGTCTACTACCCACTGCCTCAGAGGTGTGAGCCCCTCGAGTTCCCCATCATCCCATTCCCTCCTCCATCGTTTCCCTCCATCCAGAGACTGTGTATTGGGGAAAACGAACCCTGCTGATGTTCCTGGCAAGCTAAAGGTGATTTTGAAACAGCTCTCCCTTAGAAAATGTTTGTTCTCAGTAGATTCTAAAAGGATTTGTTACTCAACCTGCCCTTTCTGAGGTGATTTTGATTTGTGTGCAATGGTGACTTTTGAAAACTGTTTTCTCTGTACGGATTCTTTGAAAATAAAGAGAAAAAATGTGTGGAAAGGCTTTGAAATAGTCAGAATTTCAGCTTTCAAAATATTTGTAGAATGTCTTTTGCTGTTATTTATTTCCTAGGCAAGCTATAAAGGGATCAAGATTGGGATGTTTGTTTGTTTGTGTTTTCAGTGGGAGCAAAGGTGATTAGAGTGTCTGTCTCAAAACCTTACCCAGCTGAGCTGCCACACACTCAGCTTCAGAGATGGGAGAAGTTTCCTTTCTGGAAGTTGTCCCCTCCCTCCTCCTGCAAAGGAAGGAAGGAAAGTGTTTACAATTAATTAAAACCTTTGATTTCCCTAGGTTTGGGGGTTTTTTTAGGCTGAGGTAGAACCCCCTCCATTTTACACTGAGCCTGAATTCAGGAATTTTGGATTCAAACGTTTTAATTTCTGTTTAAAAAAAAAACAAAACAAAACAAAAAACCAGAAAACCGATAGTGAGGATTATTTCTCAATCAGACTTATTAAAATCAAAATAAGTAATTAATCTTCAAAATACCAGCTCTTCCCTTGTGTAAGTTACAGTTCCATTATATTTGGGAGGATCTTGCGATGTAGAGAATGTTGCAAAGCTTTATCAGTTTGTAAATAATTTCAAGCTTCCCAAATTTGTGGGTTTACATGGACACCAAACTCATGCTGAAAGAGAAGTTATTTGCTCCTGGCCAGGTGTCACATTTTGGTGTGGATTTAGGAAGCACTTTCATGAATTGATAGTTGTTGGCGTTTTTTTATACTGCCATCAGCAAATAGGCTGGGTTTTCCAAAGGAAGTGAAAATTTAGCTGCAGGGCCATGAATTTGCTTCCTCCTCCTGGAGCAGCTCAGTGTGGGGCTGGTGTGTCCAGAGAAGGGCAACGGAGCTGGTGAAGGGTCTGGAGCACAAGTGTGATGAGGAGCAGCTGAGGGAGCTGGGGGAGCTCAGCCTGGAGAAAAGGAGGCTCAGGGAGGACCTTCTTGGTCTCTTCAACTGCCCAAAGAGAGGTTGTAGCCAGGTGGGGGTCAGGCTCTGCTCCCAAGCAACAAGCAATAGGATGGGAGGAAATGGCCTCCAGTTGCACCAGGGGAGGTTTGGGTTGGATACTGGGAAAAATTTCTTCCCAGAAAGGGTGCCCAGGGCAGTGGTGGAGTCACCATCCCAGGAGGGATTTAAAAGCCGTGTGAATATGGCATCTGGGGACATGGTCTAGTGGTGGCCTTGGCACTTTTGGAGGAATGACTGGATTCGATGAACAAAGAGGTCTTTTCCAACCTAAATGATTCTGTGGTGGGGAGCTCTGGAGGTGACTCCTCTATCACCCACCTGACCTTGGGGCCCTGCCCTCCGTGTAGCAGCTCCTGGGCCAAGATGCTCTGCCAGCTCCAGTCACCTTCATCCTTCTGAATACTAATGATGTGACTGCTTTATGTCTGGTTTGCTTCTGTTCCTTGCAGGCTGGCTGTGTTCTAACTGGAAGTGGGGTTCATTAAGTAGGGATTTAATCAAGAGCTGGTGGTTTCGCTCTTCAGTCTTTGGGTGCAGAGGGAGTTGTCTGTAGCTGAGTCTCCAAACAAGGCGTCCGTGCTTCCCAAGCCTCGCTCTTTATTAGAGAGCTGCAAAAATAAGGACGAAAACAAGATTGACAGGCTACTACACAGGCACGTACACGTGAATAGTAAACACTCCCAGAGGGTTCGTGTTGCACTTCTCTTTGGTAAAAGAAACCAGCAATTGCTATTATTGGCATTTAAAGCTATCTTTAAAAATTCACGGAAAAGAATAATTAGACATAAAAAACCCACGTGGCTCTAAGATACTTCTTTGTGCTCGGTGTTTTGCTCCTTTCCAGTGGTGCTGGGGGGTTTACCCAGCGATTTACTGCTGCCATTGTCTGATTGAGATGTATCCTGCAGCCTTGGCGGGGCAGCCCCTGCCTTGCAGTGTCTCCAGAGCAGCTGGATCCTGGATGTCTAATTTTCCTTTGCTTGAACAGTCAGTAGCTTGGCAGCCTCCATTGGCTTTGAGTGCAGGGATGTGTCTGTGAATATGTTTATGGTATATAAACACTATGAGTGGTGAAGACTTGCATTCATGTGAAATTAGGGCTCGGATTTGTGTGGTGCTGAGATCTGGGGATGCCTGAAAATGAGGTCACTCGCTGAGATGCTTGACTTGAGGCTTTGCTTGTTTTATCCTTTGCATGGATAATGTGGTGCAGGATGAGGGTGAGAAGGGCTCCTTCTTGCTGAAGCATCAGGGAGTCTCTTCAAAAGGAGATTCAGATTTTGTGTTCAAGCAGGTTCATGTGGGGTGGTCACTGCTGTGGGCTTATTGTCCTGCTCTTTTAATCTCTTGGCTTTCAACAAAGCCAAGATCTTACGTGGTGTTTATAAAAATGTTGTCCCAGTCCTTTACTAAGTGGCCTAAGCCCTAAAGTTTCGTGAAGGTAGACCCTGGATCTATAAACTTGCTATCCTTGGGTAATCACTGAGAAGGATTTGAATCTTCAGACAGTGGTCACAAATTTTGCTGCTGTTGCCAGTCCTCACACGTAGTGGAAAAGTGTCTGTGGGTTCCTGGGCTATCTGGCAGTTCCCCTTGCCCACTCCTCCTTGCAGGTTTCTTCTCCCCTGTTTTTAGAGGCTTTTACCCTGGTAAGTTTTGCAAAACACCACTTAATGGCAGAGTTTTTTTGGCTCCCCTCTGATCTGTGCAACACTGCTATGGAGGCAGTCTTATAATCAATGTAATTGAAGATCAGAGTTAATGAGGACCTCTGTGCCTGCAAAATCCCCCAAGCGATGCTGGGCCTCAGATGTTAGATAAGGAAATGATTGGGCTGAACTGAAAATCTATTTGGCTAATTAGATGATGCATATTCCCAGATGCTGGTGGGGAAAAATACATTTTGCAAAATAAAGAAGCGTAAGATTTTGTAAGAAAAGATTTTTGGCAAGAATTCACTTTTAACTCTCAGGAAAGAAAGGGTGAGGGGGTGCCTGGTACAAGAAGATGTGTGTCAGGCCAATTCACTCACCTTCAGCTAAAGAAGAGAAGTGGGAATAGCCTGCACTGCTGCTGCCCATCTATGCCCTGAGCATCCAGGTGCCTCGTGGACGCTGTTTCCATGAGCTGGATGCTCATGGATCAGAATAATTACATCAGTCCACATTTCTACAGAGACATGGGAATCAAATTCCAGTAGTGTAAGGGTAGGGAAACATCTGGGCAGAGGAGTTGGTGGACCATTAGCTGTGGCACATTCCTTTGGAGAGGAATGGTCAAATGAAGTTCTTCGGGTCCAGGAGTTGATGAACTCATTATTATTTGCTGATCTTGATGTCACAGCACCTGCTGTAGAGTGTTCTGATACTGGGCCAAAATGCATGTTTGGGGTTTTACACTCACCTAACACACTTTTTTCCCTCTCTCCAGGCAGCAGCTTCGTTGTGAGTGAGGGGAGCTACTTGGACATCTCCGACTGGCTTAATCCAGCCAAGCTGTCCCTGTACTATCAGATCAATGCCACGTCCCCCTGGGTGAGAGACCTCTGTGGACAGAGGACCACTGATGCCTGTGAGCAGCTCTGTGACCAAGACACAGGTAAGGGAGGCTGGGGAACAGTGAAGACCTTGGAAAGCTTGGAGATGCGAGGGAGAAGGTTTGTCTCTGGGTGTTTTAATGCCCTCTGTGCTCACCTCTGCTTTAGCCTGGTGGTAGGCACAGAGGATTGAGAGGTACCAGCAGGGTCACACAGTGGTGACCCCCATCAGCAAAATGTAAAGAAGATGGGCACAAAAGGGGGATTTGAAAAGGTGGATCTACGAGTTCTTTGGTGTGGCAGCTGCAGACGTGTGGAGTTTATCTGTTTCAAAGTTGTGCTGTTTTGCTGTGGGGTGTGCTGTGCCCTGTGCAACAGCCAGCACTGCTCTTGCTCACTGATGGGTCACCAGTCTCGTGGGATACTTTCTTGGTGCTGTGGAGAAAAGTGGCCCTGTTGCTCCTGGCTTTTTCAGCATCTAAAGAGCACCCAAACCCCTGTCTCCTTGCAGAGGTGACATCCCAGGTTAGCCCTGACTCTCCATGTGAGCTGCTTCCCTCATCTCTTAGCAATGAGCTTCTTCACTTCATGTTTGTGTATGAGATTCGTGGCTGCAGGTAAGGATGTTGGTGTCTGGTTCTGCCAGGGGGTCTGAAGGATGGCTCACAGTGGAGCAGGCTTTTCCTAAGCCTCTCACTGCCACAGACCATCATTAAGACACAGAATTAGAAGTCCTTCAGAGTCATGAGTGCCCCATGGAATGACAGGGGCGACCCTGTTCTCATCCCTCCCTGCTCAGCTGAGATGCAAACGTGGAACTTGGTCTCATGAACTCATTTTCCTGATCAAGACAATGTTCTCTTCTTAGTATTCCTGTTCCTCAAGGCTTGTCTGCACAGAGGCACTGGCAGGCATGGCTGCAGCAGAACGATGACGCCGGAGAATTCCCTGTGTAGACAGCCTTGGGCGTCACCTACAGTCCCAAGGAGGGCTGGGAGGGGACAGCAGCCACCCCAGCAGATGGAGACCGTGCAGGAGGAGGCTGTTCTCATCCAGATGTCACAGAGCAGAAGGATTGTTTCAGACATTGGCAAGACGCAGCCACCTCAGCGGGAGGGGGGAGATGCATTCAGCTGTCCCCTGGCTCAGGGGAGGAGAGAAAAACTCTGCCTCCAGCAGCAACCACGGGGAGACCGTATGGAGCCAGACTGTGACTCCCCTGTTGGGAGAGCCCCGTGGCTGCACTCTCCAGCCCCAGGCCCTCCTTGGCACTGAGCAGGGCTGGTTTAATCCTTGCATGGCCTCTGCTGTGAGGAGCGGCTGTTCTCCCGTGCCGGCCCAGCTGCTGCTCCCGCTGCGTCCCCAGCTCCCAGAGCAGCTTGTCGCTCTTGCTGGATGCCCCACGCTTGAGCAGGATGTGTCAGATCCTGTTTGCAGGGAAGGCAGCGATGCTCGTTAGCCTGGGAATCGCTCTGCTCAGGCACTGTCCTGGATCTGAAGCTCGCCAGCTGCTCTGCGGCTCCCAGCCCTGGTACCCATCCCCCCTGCTTACCCGTGGTGAGGGCAGAGCAGCCTTGAGCTCAGCCTTCAGGTCCCTCACCTGAAATCTGCCAATGGGTTTCTTTCCCCTCTCTCCAGTCTGGGAGTTTTCACATGGCTAAAACAGAATCTTTCTCCTGTCTGTGCCAGTTGGATCCGCATGGATCGAGCAGGACTGGCTGATGGGGCTGCTGATCTTCATAGCCTAAATCTAAGGCTCCCTTAAGAGGTCCAAACTTCACAAGACCTGAGCAGCCCCCCACTTAAAATTAGGCCTTTGGAAGTACCTGTTTGACACCCTGCCCCAGGATGTAGCCCCAGGCACCACAGAAGTTCATCACTGTTGACCAGCCTTTAACTGGTGAGAAGTTTCCACAGCAGACTGGGGGCAGACTGTAACCGTGTAATACACTGCGTGTGCTTTTAGATTCATTTTTATTGATGTCATTCTATTTTTAAGGGTGATTTATTTTTATCACCATGAGAGAGGCAGCCCTGTGGTTTTACTGTGGGACATAAATCCTGCCTGAATTTCAACCTTTTCGGGTCAGGGATTTTATCCTCTCTCTGAGTATCCCAAGAGATGGGTGCTGGGGTTTCCCCTGTCCTCTGTCTTCTTGGGCTGGGCAGAGCACCCATGAGAAGGTTGTCCTGTCTAGAGGATGAAAGCCTCCCCTGTGAAGAGCAGAAGAGCCAGGGTTGAGGTCTTCCAGCACATTTATAGCTAATCTGACTTCATCTTTACCCTTGGAGCCACTCTCCATGGCAGTGTGGATCCAATCTGGAGATCCAGTGTGGTCCCAAAGCTTCCTTGCTCCAAGATGTAGACAGACCTCTGTGGGTAGGACCCATCCTTGGTGGAAGTGCCACTGGTTCCTGTCCCACGTTTGGACAGAGAGCTTCAGGTCACAAATGCTCTGTCTGGTGAGACTGAAACTCTCACCTTTCCCACCACCTCTTTTGGGTTGGAGTTTTAGACGGGATCTGTCCGTACCACGTTCTGACTCATGACACCAAGTACTCCTTCAGTGGGAAGAATAACCCCCAGCGAAAACAGAAGCTCTGAAACACTAGGAAATGCCAAGATCCATTTTACTTGCCTGACCTTAATTTGCCTTCCCTCATGTCTCTGTCGTGTGACTCAGTCTTTAATTAAGTGATTGCTGCCCCCCTGACAAATTTCAAACCTGTGTTGCAAAGCTCATCAGAGCGTTTCGGAGGCAGCACCGACATCTGCACACGAGCCAAATGTCGTCTTCCTCGTCCCTTCTGCCTTGGAAGCGGCCAGGCTGGTTGGTCTGACAGGACTGCAAATACAGAAACAAGTGGATGCTGCTGGGGGTCTCCTCCCTGCAGATGTGACAGAGTGGCCATGCCCAGCCATGGATGAGGCAGGTCCCTCCTGGGGGCAGGACGTGCTGCTCGGCTGGGGAGGTTCAGCCAAAACGCCCCATCCTCTTGGCAGGTGCTGCCTGCGCTGCTTGAGGCGAGAACAGCAAAGGTTTGTTGTCTTTTGGGACTTGCTGTCTGCACTCTCCATATTTTGGACAGATGTGGGGAGCATTGCCGGTGCCACTGCTTGTACCACACACTGGGATACCTCCGGGTACAATCCAGGAGTGCTTCTTCTCTGGCCTCCCTTACCAGCACCGGGAGCGTTGATAAGAGCGTCTCTTTGCAGCAGCATATGCAAATCCTGATTTGTGAGCACAATTACCTGCTTTGTATGCACAAAACTGATTCACTTGCACATTCTGTGGGCATCACTGAAGAGACCTGCTGGAGAATCGGTCCCTCAGGGCCAAATGCTGGAAGAAACAGCCTCTGATTTTGTGCTGTCAGGCTTGCTGGAGCAGTGGCATAAATGAGATGGATAGCTACCTTGATTAGCAGGTGCAAATGTGTTGAAATTTTTTTCCCCATCTACAAATCAGGCACTTCTTCATCAAAATTCTCTCTTTGCATCCACAATTGGTGGCACCCCCAAAGCAGTAGGCAGGGGCTTGTAAGGACCAGATGAAGTGTGGTAGCGAAGGGTCTTTTCTGGAAATTGGCAGGAGAGGGGGAAAAAAAAAGGTTTCCATCATCTTCCAAATGGGCCAGTTTGTCACCAGAGCCACAGATGGTGCTCCTGTCTGGGTAGGACAGGGATGTTGTGGGCAGGAGACAGATGAAAGTAATTTTTAAACAGAGCCATTTTTTTCTAAGGCAACCTGTTAAGGGGATTTGGAGGTTGCAGAGCTGAGCATGTAAATCAGGAGATGACCAACCTTGGCGAGGGTGTATTTGTGTTTATGAAAACAGCCATTTCCTCCTATAGTTCAATTTAATATCATGCAGGTTTTGTCCACATCAAGTAATATTTGTTTGTTCTTGTGCACTTCTGCTATTTTCGCTGTTGGAGGATCCCAGTGCCTTTATTGACTTAGACTTTTATAAGATGAGGTTCTGTCTCTCCAAGGTATGGAGTTTAATAACTTGGTCAAAACCCATGTAATATACGATTCCTTTTCCTGTGGTGGCACAGCTTGCCTCGTGCTCCAAGCAGGGCAGGAGGCAGTTAACTCCCAAGCTAATTTAGCTTCAGGCTGAAGTGTTATACATAAACAGCAATCAAAACTCGTGCCTGCGAGGGGCCGAGTTAAGGTTATCTGTGCTGTCTTTACACTCTCATTTTCTACCATTAGAGTGTTTAATCCTGCAGCTGCTAATGTTCTTGTAATGGCATTTCTGTGCTTGTCTAGAGAGCGCAGGGAGGAGGGAAGAGGAATGAGTTTCCTTGTACAGAACCATGCCTGAACCTGTCTCCCTGACTGGGCCCATCCCACCAGCACTGCAGGGGATTCTCACCCTGCCATGGTCAGCTGTGGGGCAGTGCTCACCCCAGAAGATGGCACAGCAGACCACCCTTGTCCACCCTTGGCACCTCTCGGTGCTTCCTTGGATCAGCTGTGCTCATGTGCCCCTGGCAGTGCAATGTGGGAGCTGAGCGGATGATAATGAGAATTAAATCCATGCAGAGCCTAAACTCAGGCACAATCCTTAGAGGTTAAGCTTGTGCTTAAGTACTGTGATGGATCTGGTGAAGAGGGTGACTTGCAGCAGGGGGAGAGGAGGGATAACTGTCAAATTGACTCCAGGTTTTCCCTCCGTGCTCCGTGCCAGGTCAGGTGGGCAAGAGCCACCTTCCCTGTCTTATTCCTCGGGAGCTAAACTGCTTCTATGGAAGTTGCATTTCTCATCAGGATGAAGCAGAGGCTCAGGTTTGGAAAGTGCCATCCCCTGAAGGGCAAGGACAGCAGATACCAGGGGCAGAAGAGAAGCTTTTCACAGAGGTTCACTGGGAGCTGGTGCCGCTGCTGCCCTTGCTGGAGGATCCACAGCCTCAGCCAGAGGCCAACCCAGGCCTGAGGAGCAGCTCTCTGAAGGTGCTTCACTTGTTCACTGAAGCTGGGAATTTAATGAACTATTAAGACCATTGTTCATCCTTCCCTGTGTTTAATTTTCTCTGAATCTCCTCAAAAGAGGCCCTTGCTCTGTTATCCTGCAGGGACACATCAAGTTCTTTAAGGAAGGGGTTTGTTGTGGGGTTTTAAATCTTGGTACCAACGCTGTGCCAATGTGTGTCTTGTCCTATCCCTGGCAAGCCAGTACCTTGAGACAACATGTGGACAACAGCAGAGCTAGGGACAGCACAGGGTGTCCTGTGTAGAGGCAGGAGGCAGCCAAGCACAGGAGTGCCCAGGTTCCCTCTGCTTTGATGGTTCCTGGGCTGCAGGTCCTGCTGCAAGCAGTGGTGACAAGGGTCACCACCAGGACAAGGGTGAGCACCAGGGATGGAGGTGCTGCCGTGGAGCAGGGAATCACAGACACCAGCAGTGCCAGGAGAAGGCTGATGAGCCACAACTTTGCTGCACCACAGCCAAAGCTCCTCCAGCTCCTTAAATAGAATCGCCAATGACAGCAAAGAGCAGCTTCCCTGGGAGCACAGGGATTCAGGGAGCCTCCACACTGTGCACTGGGCGGGTGGATTAGGGGGATCTTACAGCATTATCACCACGGATCGGCTCTTGCCCTAATGAGCCTAACAGGATTACTGGCAGTTTGTCCCTCAGCCCTGCTCTGCTGTTCCCGGGCAGAGCATGGGGACGGGCAGGGAGGATCTGGGTGCAGTAGGATACCCTGTTCCCCCTCTGAGCAGAAGCAGCAGCAGTGTGGTGAGCAAAAATGGAAGACTAGTTTAGCAACTTCCAGCTTAGATATAAAAAAAAAAAAGAGTTAAAGCCTTGAGCTGTGCTGATCAAGATGCAGCAGGAGCTGGAGGGCTGTTGTCCTCCACGTAGTTGGCTTTGCACCGTGCCTGTGCCGCTGGAGGTGGTGAGCTCGGATGTGGCTTGTGTTACATTTGTTTCCTTCAGGCATGAGCAAGCCTCAGCATAGGCCAACCCTGAGTCAAAATCCGTGGATGCTAACGCTGGCTGCAGCCTGTTCCTGCCCTTCTGCAGCTCCAGCACTGAAGCCAGCACGGAGCACAGGCGCACGAGAAACGCTTTGCTCAGACGGGCAGAGGCAGCTCACGCCTGCATGCAGAAACTGGGTTGGTTGTGTCCCTAATTGGCCCTGTTCCTCCAGATGAGTTTCCAGATGCTTCTCCCTTTCCCGGCTGAGGGCAGGAGTGACAGACATTTCTCCAGGAGCTGTGTGCTCCCCACTCCTGCCTTTCTGCATGGGGCTCTGGATGGGGCACTGGGTTGAACTGTCGGTCATCTCTCCCACCAGTCTCCATGGGGATGAAGGCACAGAGGAGGAAGGTTGCAGGTGAGATGTGTCTGTGGTGTTTGGGGATGTGTCGTGCTGCTTCAAACAACGAGTTCACTCTCCCTGAGCAGAAACTGGCACGGAGGCTCCGTGTCACCTGTAATTAGTCATGGCAGCACAGTCTGTGATGAGATGTTGTGTAAGTCAAGAGAGGGGAGTAGGGGAGGATGGAGAACTCACTGCTGTGAGTGCTTCCCATGGCCTCAGCTCCTCCCTTGCCCATCCACGTAGCTGTAGGTGTCACAGGAATGTGTCTATATATTAGAGATATATCTGAAGAGAGAGTGGAACCAGGCTTTGCAATAGAATGAGAGGCAACCGGCACAAACTGATACACGGGAAGTTCCACTTAAATCTGAGGAAGAACTTCTTTACTGTGCAGGTGACCAAGCACTGAACAGGCTGCCCAGGGGGGGTGTGGAGTCTCCCTCACTGGAGATATTCCAGAACCATCTGGACGCAATCCTGTGCCATGAGTTTGAGCACGGATGTTGGACCAGATGACCCCACCGGTGGTCCCCTCCAACCTGAACCATTCTGTGATTCTTTGAATGATGTGTTTTCAGAGCCTCTTGCTAGGGCTATGGTGCTGCATTTCCTGCTTTATTCAGAGATTTTCCTTCCCCTCCCAGCATTTTGTTTTAATGGTAATAGAACATTGGACCTCCAGAGCTGAGCACCAGGATCTGCCCTTGCTTAAACGGGGCGAGCAGCAACCCTTCCCTTTCCTATAACAGCTGAAAATTTGCCATGGATTATCATACCTGATTTGTGGCTTATGAATCCAAAGGCAGAGGAAGGACTACACAGGCCTGTGTTTTTACCATGAGCAGGGTGTGGGGTGGTGGCTGCAGAAGCGGGATGCTTGTCACGGCCGTTGGTAGATCCTGATTCATTTGCGCTGTGCAGAGAGGCGTGTGCGGGACCTGTGGAAATTGCATCCAGCTTCAGGTGTGGCTATTTGTCAAACTTGGTTACTTTAGTTGACTTTGGCTTTAACCTCAGCTCGAATCCTAACTTAGCTGCAGCAATGCTGAGCAGATAACTGTGTCTGTCTCAGAAGCACGCGGGATTTAGTGTCTCTGAACAGAGGCACTGCTGTTTGGTGGCTTGTTTAAAAACACACCCTAAGAGGGGTTAGAGGTACAGGAACCCCTGTTCCTGCCACTCTGGGCACTTTATCAGATGTTTCTCATTCCATGGGGATTAGCCAGGCTCAGCATCCTTCTTGGCTCATCATCATGCTCAGGGAGGATGGGAACTGACTGAAAATAACAGAGTAGTTCAGGGGGCCAAAGGAGGAGGGTGGATTCTGATGGGGAGAGAGCAAAAGCTCCTGAGAATCTGTAAGAGCACAGCAGGTTCTGCTGAGGTTTTTTGGAAGCCCCACTAGAGTTGTCTGTTTGTGGTTGTAGATACAGGAATAGATCCTAAACCATCTATCCTCAGGAGATGGAGTCCCCACACTTCCAGCAGACTGCAACGCTCAGCCAACCCTGTGCTGGGAGCCTTCCTATCCAATTTCTAAAACTCTACCAAAGGGGTGTAGATCTCCCTGGAAAACCTGTGGAAAGCTGGTCCCGAGTGGTTAGAGAGAGGGGCAGGTATCCCTAGTCTCTGTGCTGTGGGTGGCTTTCCCTGGAGTCCTCCTTGTCACCCGCCCTGTGTCTCCTGCCCAACCAGTGCCACCACTTGCCCTCTCACTTACTGAAATAAACCTCCCAATAAACCTCCCGATAAAGCCTCGAGCACCGGCTGTAGCTGCTGAAACTCCGAGATTGGAGTCGATAAAATCAATATTTCTGCAGGTTGATAGAGTTTCTCCTTCCGACACCAAACTGACAGAGCAGTAAACAAGCCAGCAGAGAAAATAAACCCTCCTGCACCACAGGGAAGGGGTTCAGCACCAGCACCCCCAGCCATCAATACAGGGGGAGGCGTTGGGGCTGCCGGATGCCAACCTCTGTAGGTGGTTTTTCCCTACTTGCTCTAATTTCTGTGGCAGGAGCTGAGCGTGAGCCGGTGCCCCAAGACTCCCAGCTCTGCTTCGCAAGCACTTTGAGATGTCTCTCATTTGCAGAGCATATATTTGTTATGTAATAAGCACCAGGAATTAATGATCCACGGCACGGCTGGGGAAACTTGCGCACTAAGCACCCAAGGAAAAAATAACTTTTCTTTTTTTAAAATCACTGATGGAGCCATTAGGACCTGTGTTTTCTTGTGCCGAGACCGCCCCAGCCCCCAGGCACGGTTCAGCCTGAGCAGGGCCAAGCGCCACCATCTCTCTCCCAGCTCTTTCCCTTTGGAGGAGCAATGTTCCTGCCGCTCCCATTATGAATCATAAGGTTAGCAGCTTTTGACAGATCATAAATCAGTGCTTCGAAGTCGCTAGGACAAATCCCAGGACATTTAATCTTTAATATTAGACGCGTTTGAGGCAGTGAATATTTCATGAAGGTGCTGTTGCATTTTAGCACATCATTAGCCGTCTCTTTCTCCCCCCCCCCTTTCCTATTTTTGCTGCCTCTCCCTTTTCAGGCATCTCTTCCTCAAAAATATCAGCAGTTGAATCCCCTTCTCGCTCCCCCCTGACAATAAAGCTCTTTACTGTAATCCCTGTGAGGCATTTTAAGAACTTGCTTAGGATCCCCATGAGCACCAAGGCACCTGCCAGTCTGCATTGCCACCGTGCTGGGGGTACCCCCCTCCCAACACCCCTCCCGTGTTTACAGCTCATCCTGCTGCACAGCCAGGCACGGAGGGGAGAGGAGGGGAGGGAGGAAAAACATTGGCAGCAGCTTGTAGCAGAAACTCCACGTGCAAATCCAATTAATCTTTTGATTTTGCTGTTTCTTGCTCCGGGTTATGTATTTCTACCAAACACTGAATCAATTTGGGCCAAGCGCGCGCGGGTTTCTGGTGTGGGAAATGTCTTCTCTTGCTGTCAAAAGGGTGTAACAGGGTGAGGCAGCACCCAGAGAGTGGAAGGGAGCAGGTCTGAGAGCCCTTTTGTTGTGGGATGGGGGCATGGCAGGGGAACTGCCTGTGGAGGACAGAGTTTGGGGGCTTCTGCATCCTCCTGTGGGAGTTTGGGCTGCAGGAGACCCCGCTGCCCCATCCTGTGTGAGGTGCTAGGAGCAGAGGTGGGAAGGAGGTGTGACCAGAATGGGTTTGGGGCATCCCTCCTCAGTTCATACTGGATTGGACACTGGTTCTACTCAAGCAAGGTCAAAATCCCTGCTGAGGAGTGAGCCCCTGGCTCCTGAGCAGCCCCTCTGCCAGACTTGTGGGTAGATCTCAGGCCAGGGGCTGGATCCATGCGGGTACATCTCTGTGGGGAATATTTCTTGGGGGCCATTAAGCAGAGGTTTGCTCAGCCTGAAGAGCTGCAGGGCTGCACAGGAACACTAGGTGAGGACAGACCTTTTGCATCATGAAACCTCATCCCTGGCTACTGTGGGCGCTGCATCATGTAATCCATCCCAGAACAACTACAGGTTTCTTGCAGCTTTCCACATCTCCTCATCTCCTCCTTCACGGCTCCCAGAGGTTTCTGGGGTCCAAAGTGCTCCAGATCCATAGCAGGGAGCAGGAGTGGCTGTGAACATGCAGAGATGGGCAGCAAGGGAGGAGGGTCCAACTCTGCAGTCACTGATGTGCCTCTGGACCAGAAAGGTCTCATCCTTCCCTCTTCTCTTTTAGGAGAGTGCAGCTGCCACGAAGGGTACGCCCCAGACCCCGTCCACCGGCACTTGTGTGTGCGCAGTGACTGGGGACACAGCGAAGGGTGAGTGGGGACAGGAGGGTGGGTTTCTGTCCTGGCTCTCCCACAGTGGTGAGGAGCCTGACTCTCCTCCCCTCAGGTGATCACTGGCCCCAGAGACCTGGGACCAGGCTGTGCTGCCTTTCCTGCTGAGTGATGTGCTCAGCTGCTCTCTCCATCCCTCCTCCCAGGCCATGGCCCTACACAACGCTGGAGCGGGGATATGACTTGGTCACAGGAGAGCAGGCGCCAGAGAAGATACTCAGGTGAGTCAGAGGAGGGTTCATCTTGGACATTTGGGTGGGTAGAGCCATGAAAACATGCCAGCAGATGCAACCTCTTGGTCACTCCCAGCTCTTTCTTGTGCTGGCAGGGGCACACGAGTGTCATTTGCCTGTCACAGACCTGAAAGATTTATCCAGGTAGAGAAGGGTTCTCCTCTTGTCCCCTCAGGAAACACAAGGCCAATGTGCACAGAGAGTCCCTGTGGGCTGAAAAGAAGAGCTTGGCCATCCCCTTCTGTTGCATCTCATAGAATCACAGAATATCCTGAGTTGGGAGGGAGCCACAAGGATCATCGAAGCCCAACTCCCAATTTGGCACGGGGAGGGGAATGCCGTTATTCCTCTCCCATTTGGCTTTCAGGACAAGCCCAAATTACTAACTTATCTCTTGTGGTGCCACCACTGCTCTGACTTTAAGGTGGGCAGGTGCAGTGGAGAGCCACCATTCCCTGAGGACACTCTGTTCCTTTGTGACACGTTTGCCCTTATTCCAGGTCTACCTATAGTTTGGGTCAAGGGCTGTGGCTTCCAGTCAGTAAGAGCTTCGTAGTGCCCCCTGTGGAGCTTTCCATCAATCCTCTTGCCAGCTGCAAGACAGATGTTCTGGTGACAGAAGATCCAGCAGATGTCAGGTAGGAAGCGGATTTCTCGTTTTCTTCACGCTTGAGTGACTACACCGCTCTTTAAATTGTTATTGAGGATGCAGTAATTTCTATGATGATAGGTTTGATTAATTTTCTTCCAATAAGAAATGTGATGTGATGGCCCTCCAGGCTCTTTGGTCTGATGGGTCTAGGCCAGGCCTGAGTGTGTAACTCTGAAGTCTGCCAGTACAGACAGGTGAATTGGTAGGAGAAGGCAATTTTAAAGTGGTTTAAATGTAATGTTAGATTGCAGTGCTTAAATGGATGCATTTACCAGGATGGAGGTGCTGTCATCTTTCTGAAACTCACACATACATCACATCCACCTGGCCTTTGATAGCTGCTGGGATGCTCATGAGGGGTGAAAGGCTCTGTTGCTCATCCAATTACTGTACAATTAGAGGGGTTTTTACTTCCTGGAGTTCAGTAAATGCCTGGATATTTTTCTGGCTCCCCCATTTTGGCCAGCTTGTATTTTAAGCAAATGTCCTTGGACTTGGGATAGTCTGGTTCTGAAGCGGGACCTAAGAGGGCATTGCAGGAGGAGAGTTGCCCTGGTGGAGGGAGAGGCTGTTACTGGGAGACTGGGCTGAGTGTGGGCAAAGGAGGTCCCTGGAGAAGGAGCCAGGCACATCAGTTGCCTTCTGTGCCCCAGCTGGAAAGAGGGGCCTTGGAGAAGAGGTGGTGATCACCTTGCTGGTCATTGTCCTCCTTGGTCTGATTTACAAGGGCTTAACTGTCAACTGTAAGGGTTTAATTCTGAAGGTATTTAGCGCGTATCCCCCTCTATCCCATTAAATTAAGATTGAGAATGTGAGTGTTGGGTGCCAGGGAGACTCCATGACCCCTCCCTCCCTTCCTCCCTCTCTTCCTTCCTTCTTGCTGCTTTCTCCAGTTGACTCCAGACACAATTTCCTGACTTGAAAATTCTTGCCTGTGTTGTGAATCGTCTTCCTGGGTACCAACAGGATCCTTGTGTCCCCCAACCACTTCTGTCTTGTCTTTTCCCAGAGTGGTGGGGCAGTGGATTTCCATTCTTCTTGTACCATCATCTTGACAGGGCTGTGGTTAAAGCAAGTGCCTACAAAAGCTATGGCAGAGCCAGGACTGGCATCCAAGAGGTCCTCGCTTCCAAGAGTGTGTTTTTGTTGCTAATCAGTGCTTGTTCCCTCTTCTTCAAAAAGAGACTGATGGTACATATCTATCACAATTTGGCTCTCTTAGGAGCGTTGTTTTTCTTGTCTGCAACAACTTCTGCTTTTCATTTGAGAAGGAGAAGGGTTGCCTTGGTTTATGTTAACATTTTCCAAGCCAAAATGCCAGGAGAACATTATTTTTTTCTTGCCTCCTCACATCTTCATTAAAAGGACCTCAGTGAAGGTAGAGGCTTGGAAGCTTGTTTTCTGCTCCAGTGCAGTAATTGTCTCTGGGCACTGATCCTCGTGGAAAAGTCTCTGAAGGATGGATGAATGCCAGGCAGGAGGAGGGGAGGTTCTACCACTGAGGTTGTTGCCTTCTCCCCTCATAAAAGGAACCTGAACTGAGAATTCCAGGTATAAATATTGGAGTGACTCAGGTAGAATTAAGGGGAGGCGAGTTCATGGCGCTTGTATCTTACACACAGGAGTTGCTAAATTATTAAAACTTTAATAAACGTAATAATAAATATTTGATGTTGAATTATGGAAGGTTTCACAGATACAGTGAGAAGCGAAAAGCAATCTAATATTTCTGCAGGAAAACTTAAACACTTCTCAAAGGTGAAGCTGCAAGCTTGGGGTCCTGAGCACCCCGGGGTGGGTGGAAACCAAGGTGATACCTCCTGAGTGGAGTGGGATGGTGCAAAGAAGCTGGGGCTGTTCAGATCCACTGCAGGTGGTGAGCATAGTCGATGTTGTGTTTGATGCTCATGGACACCACGTTGACCTGTCTCTGAGAACTTCCTCTGAGGTTCTTGGGTGCTTTCACACAATGAGAAAGGTACTTTTAGAGCTGCTTATCTTGCAGCCACTTTGCTTTGTCATTTGTGGAATGACACAAGTGTTGGCAGCTTCTCAAGGGAGCGGTAATGCAGCAGTTTTGGTGGTTCAGATGTTCAGGTGATGACCCATCACGTCAGATCAACCATCAGAGGTGAACACGTGCTGTTCGCGCTGTAGATGTTCAAACACAGCCACCCCTCTGCATGGAGGGGAGCTGTTCCCTGGCTGTGGGACTGTGGTAGTGCTGCTGACCCTCCATGCTGGGAGCTCCTGTAGGTGTATCAGAGAATCATCAAGGTTGGAAAAGACCTCCAAGATCATCAAGTCCAAGCTTTGCCCAAACACCACCTCGGCAACTAAACCATAGCACTGAGTGCCACGTCCTGTCATCTCTTGAACACTTCCAGGGATGGGAACTCCACCACCTCTGTGGGCAGCCTGTTCCAATGTTTAATCACCCTTTCAGTGAAGAAATTCTTCCTGAATTTCCTGAACCTGCAGTGCTTGGGCTTTAATACAGTCACATCTCCATGCTGTGGGGCAGACCCTGGGCTGTGTTACACCAGCTGCAACACGGCCGTGTCTCAGCACCCAGAGTGCCCTGTTTGCTGTCCTGTAATGTGGTGATGGTGGCTCAGTCCTGTGTCTCTTCTGTGTCTTTAATAAGGAGCGTGCTGCATTCCTCCAGACCTTTCATTAGTCTGACACCTTTGGCTCGGAGGTCGCTTGTCTTGAAGAGTTTAATGGAAGGAAATTGCAGAAAGCCTGGCTCGGAGAAAACAAGTGATGAAGTCTTTACAACTCAGAGGGCTAAAGGTTCAAACGTGGCCCTGTGTTTTTATGAAGATGCTGGAGATAGCAGAGGGACAGGTGGGGCTCGGCCTTTCAGCAGCTCTCTGGGGAAATGCTGACTCTGGTGCTGTTCTCCATGTGCTTCACTGCTGAGCAGTGCACCAAACTGCCTCTGTGCTTTGGTGGATGGGGATGAGGGGCCCAAACCTCCTTCCACTGCTGCAGCCAAGTCATTAAATAAACTTCCTACAAACAGGAGGCAAGGGGCTTCGTGCTCCCACATGTCCTGAGGGTTGAGAGGGACAGGGCTTTGCGTGCAGAACTCAGTGCTGGAGTTTTTAGGGCTGTGCGTCATAAATTAAGCAGAGTGCTTAGAGTTAATGAAACTTGCATATATAATTTATCAGTGACCATGTTGAGTGTCCCCTCCTCGACCCAGAGTCTGATCCTCTGCAGGTCACACACCTGGGATCGTGGCAGCCACGCTAACAGTGGCATCTTTGTTCAGATGAGGTTGGCCAGCAGTGCTGCAGGGCTTCCCCCATGCTGGGCAGCCTCTGCCTTGGGCTGGAGACCAGCTCCCAGGATGGGCAGACTGTCCCTGTGGCACATCCCCTGCCAGGACAATAAATACCTCCTGGTCCTACCTTACCTCACTTGTTTTCAAGACCCCTCTTTGTTTCCCTCTCTCCATTGCTCCCATCCCTCTCTCATTTATATTTCTCCCATAACCTGGTGGTAGACATAGAAGTTCCTCTGCTTTTTTAAACAAATTACTATTAGGTATTTAGTCTTTCTGCTGGCCTTCCTTAAACACCTTGCCATGTCTGTTTGGCCCTTCAGAAGGTACAGCTTGTCCTAGGGGGCCAGAAATTGCTCTAATTGTGGCAGCTACTGGGAGGACCCACAGCCCCAGCACCAAAAATCCCTGCAGGGGACAATAAAAGCATCCCTGCAGGGGATAATAAAAGCATCCCTTGGGGCACAGCTGGCTGTGGGGGACCAAGAGGAGGGCTAACCTGAGGGGGCAGAGCACAGCACAGGCAAACACCCGGTGGTCCTGGTTCACTGTGCCACCCGCTCTGCAGAAAAGTTGGTAATTTCTGGTGAGCAGCTATAAATCAGAGGCACGAGCCTCAGCTGCTGCCTGACATGACATATAGTTCTATCGTTATGGCAACCATAGAAACAAATAAAAGCCTTGCCTTCGCTTGACAAGCCTTTGAGATGTCCTGATGGAGAGACAAGTGTTCAGCGGCAGAATGAATTCGCTTGAACTCGCTGTCGATTCATCTTCGTTTTGCTCCCAAGTGAGCCCCTTTGCTCTCTGAATTCTTTGCCAAAGTACAATCAACTGGATTTTTTATTTCTAGGTGGTTTTTTTTTTATTTGTTTGTTATTTTATTTTCAATTCTCTTGGAGGCAGAGTGCTCTGCTCCCCAACTCTGTGCCTGCGGAAGTCCCGTCTTTTGCCAAGGATGGGAGAAAGGCTTTTACTCCCTGCCTGTGGCATTTGCTGGCTCAGCTCTGCCATGCCCTTTGTGACACCACTGCTGCTCCAGCCCTACAGGGGTTTTGTGGTGATATTTTGCAAGGGTTTTGCAGTGATTTTGGGCACTTACGATTTTGCAAGTCTGTGGTGAGCACTGTGGTGTGAGGCTCCCTGAGAGCAGAGGAGGATGAAAAGTGAACTGGATGAGAAAGGCAAAGGGAATCTGGGCCAGGAGAGGGGAAACAGCCTTACTGTCACCACACTATCTCAGCAGCAAAGCTCATCGGCTTGTGTCTTATCTGCAGGGGCACAGGACAATGGGTGCAGCTGCAGGTGAGCATCCCTGAAGGTCGGGAGATGGGCTGGGCTGGTCCCCGTGGGATATGCCAGTGGGGTACACCATACAGGCAGAAGGCACTCTGCCTGCTCTTCCTGACATTTGTGCAGGAAATGCCTTGAGAACCTGGTATTTTTTTCCCCTGCTTTTTTTTCTCCTGGAAAGGAGCAGTTTGTGATTTCTAGATGCTCAATGCTGCTGGGACCTTCAGCCAGGAGTTTGGGGGAGAGGGGAAACCCCTTTTTCACGCTGCTCCTCAGCAGGGACCTGCAGAGGACCTGCTCTGTTGGTGCCAATAAAGAGGTGAGAGCAACTGGCAGTCAGTGCCTGTGATGAATGGACAGCTTTGCATGATGGAGCAAATTGATCATTGCATCACCAGGCA